CCCCCCTCCCTAGCATACCAGTGCTGTTCTGATTCAAGGAACATAGCAATCACTTGACAACCACTGAAAATTTCAGAGTTGGTTTTCAGGAAACTCCCTTCTTCCGTGTCACCCCGCTAGAAAGGCAACCTCAACTCCAGCCCAGACATCTCCAGAAAGAGGGATGTCCCCTAGATCCGAGTGCAGAAAGTTGGTTAGTGTCCTGGGACTTCTACAGGTTCTGCCAGTAGAGGCAGTGACTACAATGACCACAGCCCCTCATATGGCCACACAGGCAGTGGGGAGATGGCCAGGCAAAGAAGCAAGGTAGGAGCAAAGAAGCCTACCTCAGCTTGTTGGGCTAAACGCATCTCTGGGCTTGCACACACTTATGAAGAACCAGCGGGTTTTGCCGGAAAGCTTTCCATCCCTGACTTCTGCTCCCAACAATGTCTGCTCCAATGTTGTGTCTGCTCCCCTAAATGCTTTGTTTAGCCCCCATTCCCTCCCTTTCTGGGGGAAAACTTAATTACCCAGCTGCCTTACTAACAGTCTTACACAGCGCATTCTTCAGGTTAATTAGCTATGTAAGCCAAGCAGCTGTCATTTTTATCTCTTGGAAACAAGCTGAGGAGCAGTAGCCAGTTGGAAGCGCCTCCTCTCTAATACGCGCAGGCGCACATGCACGTAAATGCACCCTTGTCCCCCTCCCCACTGACACACACTCCGACAGCCACTGCCTTTCTTCATTTGACAATTGTCTGTTTTCTTGACCTTCAGGAAGACTAATGTGTAGGCAGAGGATGTGTTCATATATGTACTATGATCCGTGTCCTCAACCAATAAGGGATTTTGAGCCTGCCTCTGGCCAAAATATCTGCTTTCTTTTTTTTTTTTTTGGAGACAGAGTCTTGCTCTGTCATCCAGGCTGGAATGCAGTGGTATGATATTGGCTCACTGCAACCTCCACTTCCCAGGTTCAAATGATTCTCCTGCTTCAGTTACTGGAGTAGCTGGGATTACAGGCATGCACTACCATGCCCGGCTAATTTTTGTATTTTCAGTAGAGATGCAGTTTTACCATGTTGGCTAGGCTGGTCTTGAACTCCTGACCTCAAATGCTCTGCCCACCTTGGCCTCCCAAAGTGTTGGGATTACAGGCGTGAGCCACTGTGCCCGACCCAAAATACCTGCTTTCTTGTTTCTCAGAAACTCTAAGCAGTTCTAAAGCTTCCAGAGCTCTACCACTGGGGGTTTACTATTTTGGAGGAAGCATTATGGAGTTCATTGTTTAAAATGCAGACACCCTTGGGAATGGTACCACATCAATATGTCCTACCATTCATCCCTCAGCAAGAGTACGTTTATCAGGTACTTAGATGTGCAAGCCCGGAGATGACCAAAGGGCATGGCACAGCCCATGCCTTCACACGCCCTGAGAGAGGACAGTGGACTCACAGGGTCACACATGGCCCAGCTATCTCTGAGAAACAAGCTGAGCGGCCAGAGTTGAACAAACGGCAAAGGTTGACTAACCCAGCTCCTTCACTTCTCACAGGGAAAAACGGCAGTTTGGAGAAGAGCAGTAACTTTCACGAGGTCACATCCCTTTTATTAGTGTTGGGACCAGAACCAGAAAGAGGGAGTCTTCACCCCGAGTCTGAGTTGACTTCACTAACCATGACCATCTGTGGATTCTTCTATAGCTCACTCTAAGTCAGATTGGCAGCGATCACCCTGGGAGGCACAGAGGAGGGCAGCCCCGGGATGGGTGGATTTTAGTGAGGTACGTGAACGTGTCTTGATCAGGAGTGTGATTCGCAGATGGGGCAGCCTCTGCCTGCAGACGCAGCCACCAGGAGGAGGGCTGGATAGAACGGTTAGCATCTGCCAGGCACCATGCTGGTGGTCACTTTGCACATTCCTTTATACAGTCCTCATGACAACCACTGAAGCCCATTTTTCAAATGAGGCCCAGGGACAGCACAGAAGTAAATGAGGGCAGGGAGGCATCACAGACATTTTCATCCATGCCTTGAAATTGAGGGAATAACAGTGCAGTGAGTTTTCCTAAAATCCATCTAGGAGCTTGAAGGAAAAAAACAAGGGGCCAGGGTGATGGGACAACAGCTTCAGGCCATTTTGGTAAAGAATACCTTGTCCCAACCATGCACAGTTATGGGTCATCAAGGCAGGCGAGCCCAGAAGGGCAAAGTTGGGGAGGCAGAGAAGATGCCATACGGCAAAGCTGGCCAAGACCTATGTCCATTGCAAGGGTTGCAACATGGACCCAGAATTTACAGAAGCCCTTGAGACCAACGGGATTTAGCAACTGAGGCCGAATTGGGTAGAGGAGTTAGCATGTAAATAAGCTAAGACCTGTTTGCAGGGTCCACGCACACAAAAGGCCACGCTTGGAGGTAGGGAACTAGGAGAGACAATTTTGGAACTGGAAGGAATCTCCACTGCTCCTGCAATTCCATTCTGCTGAGTTGCCCTCTGTTAGTCGGTTGGAATTGGAGTTGGGGAGTGGAGTGTGTAAGGAAGAAATGTCCAGGGGTCACAAATCCCCACCCCATTGCCCTTGCATTCATGGCACATCTGTACTAGGCTCAGGACTCGCCGTGTCATCCCTGCATGGAGATAGAACAGAGGCGCTAACCAGAGGCCTTGGCTTCAGGGAGGTGTGACTGTGGGACTGGGAACTGGTAGAGACGGGAAGGCTGAAGGGAGAGGCAGTGGGAACGCAGCATCGCATCCGGCCAACCTCATTTCCGGCTGTGGCTGTCCAGTACACCCCGATCCCTAAGTACTCGGAAAACTCAATGTACAATGTGTTTCTCATGGAAGTCTGAAGTTCCAGCCCACACCCAAACCCTCCCAGTAGCTCACAGGGAAAACAAGAGCCGCTTCATGGGGTGTTATAAGAATTATTTGAGATAATTTATATAAAACTCTTAGTATGATGCCGAGGACACATATGATATGCTTAACGAATTATAGTTGTCATTAGTATCATTTAATAACAAAATAAACTTAAAAACTGAAATTGGAACGCAACAGATTAAAACCTGAATTTCTAATTCTTATCATGCAGCCACTACTGCACCCAGAGAGGGTTCAGGGTACATCTGTCCAGAGGACGACAAGGGAGTCTCTACGCCTTTAATATATATCTTCATTGCTGAAACTCATGGCCTCTCCCAGAGGTAGGCAGGTAGTAGTGAGGGAAGGAGAAATGAAACAAGACAGAGATGTAGAAGACAGGGGAGAGATGCTGACTGTCAGCAGTTGGCTCATTGCCAAAGAATGTTGGGGAAAAGGAGGGACCCTAAAGACCGTCTCATCTAATACTCACAGAAAAGGACAGCAAGGCTTAGACAGGGGTAATCTCTTGCCCAAGGTCACATCTCAAGTCAATGGCAGACCTGAAACTGCACACTACCCTCAAGATGCTACCTGCCATCCTCTATTCTTTCCAAAAGCCTGAATTTATTCCCCCTTAGAAAAAAAGGGAAAAAGAGCCAGTGCTTCTCAACTTTCACAGCAGAAAAATAGCTGAGATTTATCCAACCCCAGAGTTGCAAAAGTCTAGACTTCTGTTCTGCAAGTTCCCTGTTTTGCTCTCAAGGGGCTGCTTAAGAGCAGGGAAGACAGTGGACTCCCTGGGGCATCTGAGGAGGCAGAGGGCAGGCCAGTGTGAAACCAAAAGCCCCAGGCCTGGAGGAGAAGGGACTTTTCAGACAGGGCTGGGATCGAGGGTGCATCCCAATACAGGGGCCTCTGACCTCTCCTTGCCTCCCCTCCCAAAATGCAAGTCAGCCTGAGAGGAAATCCACAGAGGTCTCCCTGAAATTTTCAGAGATGGACTCGTAATTTGGGGGGATATGGGGGAAGAGAGCAGCCAAAATCACTCTGTTGCCTAGAAAGCTCAATACTGCCAGGTCCCCTGATGCTCATGGAGTAATCCAGACCCATGGGGAGTCCTGGCTAGGACTGGCCGTCTTACCTAACCCTGTCAAATGGGTTTCCCCACATCCAAGTGGGTGAGATGCAGAAACCACAGCCATCTCTGCTCAGCAGCTCCAGTCATTTCCCTGTACCATCTGTGACTAAAATGCCAAGAGAACACCGGGAATAGAAGGGCAGTAAGGCCCAGGGGCCATAGCAGATACCACCTTCCACAGCCCAGAAGACAAGGGCAGCCTGGAAAGGGGAAACCACAGATAACCCAGGTCTCTTTCCCCAAAGGCCGCAGCGACTTGGGGCAAACCACTCCCTTATCCATTCCCTTGTACAAGCAAAATGGCCAAATGAGGAAGCTGGGAGACAAGGAAACAATGAGCGAGTTCAATTTTAGTAAAGAAAGATTCCACCCTGTTGAGGGCAAACAAACAAAAAAAACCAAAGTTCCTACAAAAAAGACTCAGAGACAACGTGGAAGAAAAATACAGCAGCTGTTTGAAAATGCCAGTTGCCTAACAGGCAATGTTAATCAGAGCTTAAAGCATCGTGTTTCTGGATTTGATCCAACTTATCACCTGAGCCTCTGACCCTGCTGGATAACTTCAAGTCACTTCCCCATCTATCTTGCTAACCATGGCACAGCTCAGTTCCTGCCATAGCAAGAAGACAGCTCGGCCCACACATCCCAGCACCAAATGACACGTGAGGCTCTATACACCTAAAGGACCAGTGTTTGCCGATTTGCCTCCTCCCAAGACTTGAAAAACTATCCCGCCCATGTGCAAGGGCTGAGAAAAGACTGTGTTATCTCAGAGAGATAAGCGAAGAGAGAAATGAGCTATTTTATTAATTCTGAGTGTATTTCCTCTTGCCCAACCAACCAGTAAATTCCTAAGAGGCAAGGATCTGGCCTTATACTTTTACTGCACTCCCCAGTCTGCATAATACACAGGGCTTGGCCTACACAAAGTACATTCTTAGTATTCAGTGGACAAATGGCAGCTCACACACCCCTCCCATCCCGCCTTCCTCTAGTCCTGGGAAGCAGGGCCTACCTCGCCATACTGGGTGCAGTAGGTCTCAGGCTTGGTCAGTCCACAGGTAGATGAAGCTTGGAGAAACCGGGTCCTCCCAACAAGCAGGTCCCCGACAGGTGGATAACAGGCCCCACGGGAGCAGGCTTGCTGGGCATGCAGGAGGCCAGGCAAGGCTGAAATCACAGAAATACATGATGGTGCAGCCCAGAAAGAGAGGGGCCTTGCTGGCCACCCCAGTACCCTTTAGGAGCGCCAACATTAGTGAGATACCCTCTCCCTCTCTCAAGCTTCCACCAGCTGCTGGCAGTAATGATTGCCGTATTGATTCTGTTAGATTTTAAAAGTTGATTTCATATTCTAGAACTCGAAACTTGAAAAGGAGAAGAAGAGAAACGCTGGCAACCAAAAACCATAGTGACCCTAAAATATGGCTTTTAGAATCAAGCTGGAGACATAGACTTGGCCATCAAGACAAGGTCCACAGCTCTTTCCACCTGCATCGTGGCCTCTGTCAGCAGCTCAGAGGAGGGCTGACTGCAAAGCCATTGGTGGAACATTAAGAAAGGCCTGCATTCATTCTGCTCCTTTATCTTCAAAGCGGCCCCAGCCACACTTTGTGAGTACCCAGCTACAATCCACTGGAAAACAGGAGCTTAAGCCACAATGGCTCTGGAGCCAGCTTGGGAAAGGATGGGAAACCATGGAGTGCACTCAGGAAGCCACAAACCACCTTTGGGTAAGAATAAGAAGACATTTGGGAGCCTTTCCAGAGAGGCAGAGAATCTTCTTCCCCAAAGGACAAAAGGAATGTCCCCAGTAGACAAGTATTCCCAACTGGAGGGACTACAGGTGACAGGTGATGCCCACACTTTGGTAAACTCTCCTCCTACCCGTGGCTGTCACCTCCCTGCCATATAACAGGGCCTGGAAGGAAGAGAAGGAGTACTTACCAAAACACAAGAGGAAGAGTGGTCTCATCTTCAGCCAATGGGGTGAGCCCCAGAGAGGACCTTACCTAGGACAGAGCAAAGCAACCTGGGTCCAACAGTGCAAACCCCTAGAGCAACTAGCCCCTTTTCTTTTCTGTTTCTAGATTCATGATTTTTTTAGAAGTCTTTACCTAGGGTCCTGATCTAGGACACTTGGAGCAGCAGATGCATTTGTAGCCAAAAGCTTGGAAAATGCTGGAGCTCTAGACCCTTGTTTCAAGTGGTATGTGACTCACAGGGTACCCTGGGAAAATCCCATTCCCTCCCAGATTCCAGCTTCCTCCTCTGAAATGGACGGGAAGGAGTGTGGACCCTGCCCTACCTCACACAGCCATAAGGATAACATGAGGAGCAGGAAGAGGCTGAGCCCTTTGCAGGGGAAGAGTTGTAGGAAGGTCCAAGGCCTCGATCCTGCCCCAAGAGAGAGGGCTGGCTTTTCTCAGGAGCTACACCAGCAGTCTCAACTCAGCCCAGCCCAAAGTGAATGAGTCAGAGTGGCTGACAGCCTGGAGGCAAGCCTTCTCCTGCCATCAGCATGGCCTCCAATACCATCCAGGGCCACTTTGAGTTTGAGGCTGTGTACCCACAAATCTGGGCGAAGCAGGCAGCTGGGACACAACAGGGAGAGATGCATGGCTGTCTTTAACAAGTGAGTGTGGATTTCATCTAAAAGGGAAACAACCCGAAATGTCTTCAGTGATGGGCTGGGGCTCGAGAAGAGGGGTGGGGCTGGGACCCCACAAAGCAGGGATTCTGAGGGAGGTTGGGGAAGCAGCCACTGTGAGGTCCCAGAGGCAGCCCCCTCTGCCTTGAATGGGATGCTCACTCTGCTCCAATGACAGCCGCAAACTCCTTTGGCTAGGGTGGAGGGCTGGGGGCTTGGCAAGGCAGGGGCAGAGGGGGAACTGAGGACATTCCTGGCATCTTTAAATTATAGATCCTAATGCTTCAAAATCATTTTTTCCAATCCCTCTCCCAAAAGAGTCATGGGCCCAGGGAGGGAACATGTGCCCTGAGGTCCCACAGCTGATGATGGCCTAAGAGAGATGCAGCCTCTGCCTCTCATCCAGTGCTTTCTCAGCTCTCCCACCCCGCCGGAAGTCCCCCTGGAACTAGGCATTCTGAGCCGCCCCACCCTTTTCACTTCCTTTCGTGCTCAACCCCAGATGTGAACCTGCTTTCTTCTAAGTCACCGTGGCGCTTTTCAAATGTGAAAAAGCAATCCAAACTGTAGCATTTTAACCTAGCATTTAGAGGTGAGCTCACTCAGGTGAGCTCCCAGGAAGAGGAATAGATCAGGCCCTGCAACCAGGCCCCAGGTACCCGGAGATATAGGCCGCCTCCCGCATCCCGCCCCCACCAGGCAGGTAAAAGCAGGTAACATACCTCGCTGTGTGTTCTGCCGTTCTTTCTCCAGATCTTCTGAAAGCTCCTCTTGAATGTGGGGGTCTCCCCTCCTGGCTCCAAGTTTTTAAACAGCAGCCTCACCTCTGGAGACTCCCTGGCTGGGTGTAGCCCCACCGCAGGGCGGGTCTCAGGAATCTGGCAGCCGTCACGCCCATCTGTCGTCACTGCACCCCCAGCTCCCAGGACAGGACTGGGCAGGTGGGTCAGTCTTTCGGTCCCAGAGGCCTTGCAGTGAGCTCCATAGTGCCCGCCTGCCTGTGGGTGCTGCAAGGGGCACCACAAGCAGAAAGCACCAGGCAAATGTAAGTGATCATCAGAGACCAGGATTCCTAGGGTGGGGAAGGACCCTTGCATTTGTGCCAGGCAATGAACTTGGCATTGTCCCAGGGCAAACAGGGACCTGGACCATCCCAGGCAAAAGACCAGGCAAAGAACATGAAGATTAGGGCTTATATAGAGAGTTAAAGCCCAGACATGTCACTGGGCTGGAAGGTGAGAAGGCCCAAACATCCAGGACCCTGGAAAGCACCATTCCCCTCCCCAGGGTAAAAAAAGAAAAAAAAAACCAACGTCTTGGGGAATTGGGAAGATCCTTAAAAGCCAAGTTTCATCAGGGAGAATTCGAAGCTCAACTTATCCAAGGAAAGCTTAAGAGAAATGAGCAGAGTAACTCTAAACATTCTCCTCCAGCTGCCTCCGCAGTGTTGGCAGGGAGCCCAGGGACAGGTAACTGCCTGTGAGTCACTCTCCCACCTTCGGGGAGGGTTAGTCTCCTCGCCCCTCCCTCTCTGGGCAGGAATGCCCGCCTGGAGGGCCAGAAAACAGACCTGACCACAAGTGGTAGAAGGAAAAGCTGAAGCATAGCTAGACTAACAAAGTCAAAACAGACTTTCCCTGGCCGCCTGCCAGGCCTGAGAACACAGTTTCCTTTGTGGGCTCCTTGCTCAGAGCTCCTGGGCTTCCAGCCGCTGTAAATGGAAGTGGCAGGTCCAAATGGAAAGGCTGGTCTCACAGGACACTCTTTCCCCCAGGTTAGGGTCGGAGAGCTTTTAGGGAAGCCTGGAGGGTCACCCAGTCCATATCTTGGCCCTGGAGAACCTGCACCGGCACCATTTTTGGAATGCTCGTGCCTCAAAGTTTCTGTTTAAAGGAGATTCTTAACTATCTATTCCACTTTGTCAGTGTCTCCTCAACAGAAACGTCTCTACCATTGGAGGGTTATGTCCAAGAAATTGGTTTGAAGACTCTTAAGGGGAAAATGTAGAATTTTGTAAATTAAACTGGGCATTTCTAACACTCAGGTTCTAACTTGCCATAAATTCAGGTGGGCAGAAGAAATATGTAATTAGCAAGTGGGCAGTAAGTTGTTTAGATGCATAATTGATACTCCAGTAAATGCTAGTGTCTTGGCCCCTGTAGGCATTCCAGTGAAATCTAGCTCAACTCAGCAAGTCAGGGTCAGTAAGAGCAGTGTCCCTTCAACACAGAGAGACCTCCCTCAAGTGCCCCACAGAGAAGGGTCGCCCCTGACATCCCTGTGTTTTGAGTTCTCACCTGGTTGACTCTTTCTCTCCACTTTCCTAACTCCCTGAACAGAGCTCCCAGGAAACATTCACCCTCTCCCCATCACCAAAGGATGTGACAAAGAACTCATTAATAATTAACTCAGCAGAATAGAGCAGGTGTTGCAACTCCAGATCCTCAGAGGAGACAAGGCAGGGCAGGTGTACGGTGGGCCTCACCATGAATAGCTGGGCCCTTTAAATCCCCCTCCTCCTCCCTTTATCTGAGGCCATGAGCCCAGGTAAATACACATTTGGTGTCTCAGACTTCACAGGCTTGGGCATGTCCTAGAGTGGTTTGGCTTTGCAGGAGGGAAATGCCAGTTGCTGTGCTTGCCTTCCCCCATGTACTCCTGGCAAAGTCCAGGAAGCTGTTTATGCAGACCCCCAAGAGCAGCCCAGCCAGCCTCACTCTTCGGGGATGCTGATCCACTCCCCCAAGAATGCCAGGGCTCCAGGCACACACTTTGGAACTTCAGAACCCAATTTGTTCAGAATGAAGTACCCTAAAATAGAGCCTGAGGCCAGATTAAGTTCTAAGATGAAAGGGGAGTGGTATTGCAGCTCGCGCCCCTCAGCCTCCCCTGTATGCATGCCTTTTCTCTCTCCCTGCACCCATCCTCCTGCATCAGAGCACTCATCTGCCCTACAGCCTTGGTTTATTAGAATGTGTGCTCAGGAAAGGGCTAGTAAAGTCATCCTGGACTTCAGTGTCTCTCACAGCTCATCACTCCATCAGCAAATTCGGTCAGCTCCCACTTCCAGTAATAATCACAATCTACTTCTCCCCTCCTGGCCTGAGCCTCTCCTCCTGGGACATTTGCAACAACCTCCTCACTGATATACGATCAAGTCCCAACACAGCAGCTTAGGCACCTCCAGCTCAGAACCCTCGCATGCCCCTATCCCACTCAGGGCCAAGGCCAGAGCTTTTTCAGAGTCTAGCAGGCTCTACACCACCTCCCTCCCATTACCTCTTCAACTCTACTACAACGGCCTCTATCCCTGCCTTAGCTCAGGCTTAGAGCTTTGGCTCCAGCTGCTTCTGCTGCCTGGAACACTTTTGCCCCTGGATATCTACAAAGCTAACTCTCTAACCTCTTTCAGAGTCTTTGTTCAGTTCCTAACTTCTCAATGAGGCCTACTCCAATCACACTATTAAAATTACAACCTTCTCTGCCCCATCCCTATCCTCCATAATAGCACTCCTAACCCCACCTACCATACATTTTGGTGAGGTATTTATTTACTTACTTGGTAGGGGGACATCACTTACAAGCTTCTAAACAACTATATAATTTACCTACTTACTTATTTTCTGTCTCTTCCAACTAGAATATAATATCCAAGAAGTCAGAGATTTCTATTTTATTCACTATTGTTTTCCAAGTGTGTGGGAAGTAGAAATATTCCTTTTTAAAGTTTCCTTTCTTGTTAAAGAATAAGTGTGCTAATAACTTCGTTAAGCCCTATCCTATGTAAGTGTTAGACGTGCCATGCTTACAGGCACATAGTATATTCTATGTCCTTATACTTTAACCAAGATATCTGTGCTGGACATGCTCACAGGCATGTTGCAGCTCTCCATTGCTTTTACCTATTTAGAAAAGTTTTAAGTTATTAGCCAATCGGGTTTTAGTTTAAATTGTGAGGTCTGGCTCCAGCCAACGGAGATCAGACACAGCAGTAAGGACGACCTCAAATGTGTAATGAATAAATTTGAGTGTTTTCCTTTGTTCATTGTACTCTCATAGCATGATGGCTAGCAAGAGTACCCTTCCTGCAATCCCGGAAGTAAAAATTGTGTTGCTAAAAGATCCTTTGTCTCAGTGCTAATTTTTCTTTGTAGCACCGAGAATCTATTTCCAACAAATTGACAGCCACAAAGGGACACATTCCCCTCCAGAGTGGTCTCCAGCTGAGACCCACCTGGTTCGAGGAATAAATCAACCTTATCTCTCAGCAATGTGGGGAAATGAAAGACTTCAAGCTTTGGTCAGAATTCTAAAGGTTAGGAATGTGTAAGTGTGCATGCGAGACAGCAGTGTGAGTGGTTCCTCTCTGCAGAATCTGTAATCATTTCATACGGTCTAGAGGCCAGAGGGAGCAAAGTGAAGGTAAAGGGAGGAGTGAGAGAGACCCCCAAAAGGGTGGGGTGGGGGAGATAGTTAGAAACCTCCCCTGGAAAAAGAAAGGCAAAAGGTAGCCAAGAGAGGGCTCAAGAGGAGCCCCAGTAAAGGCCCCCTGAGGCGGCTGCAGTGGCCAGCCACTCGTTGGGGTGGGGCCCAGGGAGGCAGAGGTCACAGGCACACAGGGGTCGGGCCACTCTGAGTGGCAGTGTAATGGCCAGGGCCAGGGTCAGGAGTAAGGACGCAGCACAGGTGGCACCGGAAGTGGTGCGTGGCCTGCGCAGGGATGGCTGCAGCGGAGTCGTCTGTGAGGCTGCTGGCCATGGCCAGGGGTGCCGCAGAGGTGGCAGGAGAGGCCAGAAAGCAGCAGCAGCAGCAAGACATCCAAGGCCGCCTGCCAGGAACCTTGGGGGGCAGACACGTGCGGCACCTGCGCCAGCAAGGGAGAAGACCAGCAGCATGGGCAGTGCAGCCCAAGGCAAGTCCCACTCCGGCCAGCAAAATGTTAAAAAGTAAGACAAAAAAGGTACATGAAAAGACGGTAGGAGAAAGCGTGTGAAAGAGAGAGAGACCCGAAATAAAACTAAAGAAAGAAATAGTGTAAAAAGAAGCTTTTCTTTTAAAAACAGGCAAAACAACTAAGCCAAGACATGTTTAAGAAGTTTAAAAAGGAAAGTTATAATGTAAAAGAGGAGGGAATTGTGGGAAGCAGAAAAGTTCCTTTTTAAAATTTCCTTTCTTGTTAAAGAATAAGTGTGCTAGTCACTCCGTTAAGCCCTATCGTATGTAGCTGTTAGACATGCCATGCTTACAGGCACGTAGTACATTCTATGTCCTTGTCCACTGGGTGGACATTGAGGTTGGGTAGGTGAGGGTGGGGAGAGAAGGAAAGGTATGGAAGAGTCACTCATGGCAGGAAGCTTCTGTCCTGCTTAGCTTCCCCCTTCCTGAGGCTGGGCTCCTATCTGTGCCTCTGTAACATAACAAACCTATTTTATCTCCCTGGTTCCTGAGGAGGCACACGGAAGAGTGTGACCTGTTGTCTGAACAGCTGAGTATACTATGTGCCTGTAAGCAAGGCATGTCTAACACTTACATAGGATAGGGCTTAATGAAGTTATTAGCACACTTATTCTTTAACAAGAAAGGAAACTTTAAAAAGGAATATGTCTACTTTAACCAAGACATCTGTGCTGGACGTCCTCACAGGCGTGTTGCAGCTCTCCATTGCTTTTATCTGTTTAGAAAAATTTTAAGTTATTAGCCAATTGGGTTTTAATTTAAATTGTGAGGCCTGGCTCCGCCAACGGAGATCAGACACAGCAGTAAGGATGACCCCAAATGTGTAAGGAATAAATTTGGGTGTTTTCCTTTGTTTATTTTACTCTTGTGGCATGAAGGCTAGCAAGAGTACCCTTCTT